TTTATCAAGAACAGAATTAAAGGCAATTTCACCTGGTTAAACATGTATTTCCTCGCAGGGAAACAGGAAGGTGATGAGTCGTTTGTTAGTCACTGATGCAGAAGCAGGGGGCAGAACAAAAATATTCCCCTTTGGTTATGAGGGCGTCCCAGTGGACACACTGAATATTCATTTTAAAGATGAAATATCCTCAATTTAGTTACGTGGGGGCTCTAGTGTGCCAGACTTCGGGTAACAGGTCTGGAAGAACCAAAATTGCCTGTGGGGTAGCTTCGAGGAACTCGACATACATTCTTGTCATCTCACTCAGTTGCTTGCCTCAAGGGGATCATTCTGGGGTTAGCTGTTCGAAGATTTTGTGTAAGCAGTTCGCGGGGACTCTGGTAGCTAGGATGCGAGGGATATTTGATATGACTGAAAATGTGCTCAGCGATGTATATTGTATGTATGGATATTATTTCAGCTAAATAATAATAATGATGATCTGCCACTGTCATTCTCTTCCACAAGTCTAATTCTTGGCTATCTCGTGTCAGTTTCCTTCCCAAATTAGAGACGGTTTTAGTGGGACATTTCTAAGTTGTATTAGATGTAATAAAATGGAATAGGTAAAATAAACCCTACCTTTTCACTTAAACCCTTCCTTTTCACTTAATCACCCTATCATTAAAAACCACAAACATGCAATAGCTTTTCAAAATTACTGTTTAATATTCTAATCTATGGATACATCTTAATTTACTTCACCATCATCATACTTTGGCTATCTCACTTTTTTCTATTTTATATGAACATTTTTCTCCACAGACTTTTCTTCACCATTTAGATCTTTTCCTTAGGATGTGTTTCCTAAGTGGAGATGGTGGGTTAGAGAGCATAAACATTAAACTCGGAAAGGGAAGGTGTTCATTTACAATGAAAAAGATAATTACCCAAAAGACCACTCATCGACACATTCTTTCCTTGTCCTAGGAAAGTACAGATATTTTAAAGGCTCATGATCCGTGTTGTAAAGTTCCTTTCCAGAAGCTTATACAAGTGTGCGTCTGCACCAAAGAGGCGGCATTTGAATACCAGCTGCCCCTGCAGGGCTCGTGATGGTGATCAGGCTGGTGGAACAGTCGTCAGAACGGGAGCCGGTTCCACAGGGAGCTAAGCCAAGCTCTGCCACTGGAGAGGCACTGGAGACTTAAAATGGAGGGTCAGACTTTGTCTAGAGAATTAATTAAGCTTCTCCAGGAAAGTGATAGTTCTACTGAAACCCAGAGGAGGAGCTGCCTAGAGGAATGATGGTAGAGACTCTTTCAGGTGGAGGGAATAGCTTATGGGAGACATAGGAAGAGCTGGGGTTGAGAAGGATCACAGTCCATGTAAAGAAGTCCAGGGCTTCCCTGGTGGCGCAGTGGTTGAGAGTCCACCTGCCGATGCAGGGGACGCGGGTTCATGCCCCGGTCTGGGAAGATCCCGCATGCCGCGGAGCGGCTGGGCCCGTGAGCCATGGCCGCTGAGTCTGCGCGTCCAGAGCCTATGCTCCGCAGCGGGAGAGGCCACAACAGTGAGAGGCCTGCGTACTGCAAAAAAAAAAAAAAAAAAAAGAAGTCCAAAGTGGCTGGAACAGAGAAAACAAGAGTGGTGTAGGCCGTGGCTGGACAGGTGGGTAAGGGCCAGATCATGTGGGTCTTGGAGGCCACGGTAGAGAGTTTGTGTCTTGTTCTAAGGACAGTGGGGAACCACCTTAAGGTTTAAGCAGCAGAGGGACATGGTTATATTTGCATCTAAAAAGATCACTCTAGCTGAAGTGTAACTAAGAGACATGAGCAAGACTGGGGAGTGTGGAGTCCATCAGGAGGCTGCGGCAGTGGTCCAGGAAGGACAGGGCAGTGTCTGAACCAGGTGAGGATGGTGGAGGTAGAAGAAGGGGGAGAGGTATCAGAGACATGGGAGACAGAATCAATAGGATTTGGATGCAGGGGAGGGGGAGGAGGAAAGGGTGCATTCGCTAGAGTGTCTGCCTAGATGACGTGCAGAGTCCTTTGTACCTCTGAGGTGGTATTCCATGAGCCGGGGGCATATGCAGGGCCACATGAATTTGAAATTTTGTTTTTGTTAAGAAACACACTTGGGGCTTCCCTGGTGGCGCAGTGGTTAAGAATCCGCCTGCCAGTGCAGGGAACATGGGTTCGAGCCCTGGTCCAGGAAGATCCCACATGCGGCGGAGCAACTAAGCCCACACGCCATGACTACTGAGCCTGCACTCTAGAGCCCGTGCACCACAACTACTGAAGCCCGTGTGCCTCAAGCCTGTGCTCCGCAACAAGAGAAGCCACCTTAATGAGAAGCCTGTGCACCGCAATGAAGAGTAGCCTCGGCTCACCGCAACTAGAGAAAGCCCGCGTGCAGCAACGAAGACCCAATGCAGCCATAAATTTAAAAAAAAAAAAAAGGACTACAATTTCATAAGTTTTGACATATGTACACGACCATAACACCGTCACTGCAATCAAGATAGCGAACATACCCATCACCCCAAAACGTCTCCTGGTGCCCCTGGTGGTCCCTCCCTGCCACCCCATCCCCAGTCAAACACTGATCTCCTTTGGTTACTATAGATTAGTTTGCATTTTTTAGAGTTTCATATAAATGGAATCATATAATGTTGTACTCTTTTGGGGGGAAGTTCTGGCTTCTTTTATTCATGAAACTCTTCTATATACCTTATCTGATTGTTTTAAAAATGACCCTTTATCAAAGAATGGATCTTCAGAGAGGCTAAGTCCCAAGTTCTCCCAGCTGAACAGCGGCAGTGTTGGTCTCGGAGGCCATGCTTTCCCTGTTGCCACACACAGCCTGGCTGGTGCACCCCTGCCCCCGTAGCATGCATAGTCTCTGAGGTGCTTCATCTTCATGGCATGAGTCTAGGAGGAGGGGCCTAGCCCACATCTCATGGATTTGGAGGTTGGAATCAGGACCTGGTGAATCTGAAGATGAGCCCCTTACCTCCACGACAGTGTACCTGTGAAGAACTCCAGTGGCAGAGAAACAGACATGGGTGGCCTGAAGTTTTGTTGGATCTTCATTTGTGAAGGACACCAGAAGCCTGGGCTGGTGGAGACAGAAGGGATTAGAAGGGTGGGACAGATTGTCTGCTCCCTTGGTTTTGAAACAGAACCCAGTGCAGACCTGGGTTCAGCAAAAGGTAGGGGGAGGGCTCTGGCTGCCCACCTCTGCCTCAACCATAGCAGCTCTGTTCTACCTATTCCATACATGTGCTTCTGGGAAAGTTTTTTTTTTTTCCGGCCATGCCATGCAGCATGCGGGATCTTCGTTCCCTGACCAGGGATCGAACCTGTGCCCCCTGCAGTGGAAGCACGGAGTCTTAACCACTGGACTGCCAGGGAAGGCCCCAAGACTTTTTTTTTTTGACAGGAGACCTTCGTTCTTTAAAAAGTCTGAAAATCACTGATCTAGTTTAATATTCCATCTAGAGATGAGGAAACTGAGGTCTCGATAGAGCTGCCAGATAAACAGCAGGATGCTCAATCAAATCTGAATTTCAAATGTACAAAGAAAAAGATTTTAGTCTATCAAAAGTATTGCACGGGAATACATATTAAAAATTAGTCATTTTTGCTAACTCTGACGACCCTAAGCCTAGAGAGCGTAACTGCCCTGCCCAGGAGAAGGTCAGGGCTGGAGCGTAGGAGAGGCGTATGTGGCTGATACAAATGAGTAGCCTCCTGTCCGGATGTGGACCTTGGTGAGAACATGTTGTTGTAGGAGTTCAGATCTTCCCATGCTGGAGGCCTGGAAGTTGTTTTCAGCAGAGCCACACCCCTTTCCAGGCTGGAGTGAGGGAGGTTAGTGGAGACAGAGCCCTGGGGACAGAGCAGCCCACGACACTTGGGGCGGTGGAGAGCCATGAACGGCTCCAGCACTGGCGCCTGCGGAAGGGGGCGCGCTGAATCCTCGCCCTGAGAGCGCGCAGCTTTCTCTGGAGCAGGGAGAGAGGAGAGGAGTGCTGGGGGAGAGAAGGGGCTGAAAGTTAACAAGCAAAGTCACTCAAATGATCTCCTGTCTTACTCTTCCCTGACTCGGCCTCATTAACACAAGGAGGCTAATATTTGGCTCCGGAGCGGAGGCAGGACCGAAGCTCTCTCCAGTGGCTCTGTTAAATGTCATAAATTGCGAGAGCGCAGCTTGAGGAGTTTGTAAATGGCATCTGAGCCCGAGGCCATCTAGTAATATTTATACTGTGGAAGTTCAGCCTTTTCCCCCTTTAGAAAAAGTTTCCGATTTGTTTCAGAGGATGTCCATCTTAATCACTGTTTCGGGCGCTCTAATGGGCAGGCTTCTCAGTTCCCGGCTGCCAGGGGAAGGGCGCGGAAGACGCGAGACTCCGCACTGCGGCTGGCTGCTCGGTGGCGCTCAGATTGCAGACCTTTATTCCGCCCGATGCCGTCTTTCTCTTTGGGGTACAGTTAGGAAACAGATGTCTAGCTGTCGTGGGCCAAGAGAATCATACTTATTTTGTCTATAAAATCCGAAGAATGAATTAAATATGCCTGTTTAGCCATGTCCAAAGAGCGTGAAACTCCTCAGGTGGGTTGATGAATCTCACCAAAGATAAGAAAATAATAACATACCTAAAACTTATTGCTTGCCAGGCCCCCTGTTCTAAGCTATATAATATATCATATTATATTATATTAGCAGTATATATACATATATACTGTATATATTAGCTTAGATATATAAGCTATATAAATGTATGTATTTTGATATATATAATATATATTGTATATACATACATGTATATATATTACCATGAGTTAGGCACTGTTATTATGCCCATTTTAAAGGGTGAGAAACTGAGGCTGAGGTCTTAACTGCTAATCTCTATTACACATCCAAGTAGAGGGTCATGCTAGCTGCTCACACTTAGGCTGTCTTCTGAACCCCATAGTCTGGCATTCTAGGCCCCTCACAGTTTGTCCCTAACCTGTCTTTTCAGTCTTATTTTGCACAACTCATCTCTGGGTACAACTCAGCTGTGGCCCTACTGTCCCTGAGGTCACCAGGCACACTCCTCCTCTGAGACTCTGGGCCTACTGGGCATGTTGTGAATGTTGGCTGCCCATCTCTTCATAAAGAAAAAAATTCCATCCACCCTTGGATCAGGTCCTACCTTCTACCCAGACATCCTCATGGCCACTCCAGACCATCGAGATTTCTCTCTTGCTCTGAATTATTGGAGAACTGCTCCTCGGTCGGTTAAGCCTGGACAGCCTTGAAGTTGCTTTGTGCTGCCGCCCAAGGCTGATGCTGTTTCTTAATGACTCATCTCTTTGTCTTGTTCCCAAACTAGATTATAAGCTTCAGGAGGGAAGAGGATTTGAATGAACATAATGGTCCCTTGGTCAGAGATACTGAAGGATAAGGGGCTGAGTGCTTTGTTTTACACTTGCTGATTCTTAAAAGAACCACAAAAGAGGTAAGTGGTTCTCTTCATGGGCAGTTGGGATGCTGCTGGTGTCTCTTGTAATAGGCAAGTTCTGAGACTTAATACTGAATATAAGCAGACACTTATGCATTTCTGGTCTTACCCAAATTCTATTTTCCTCAAATAATTCTATAAAGCCATAGTAAGATTTTAGAGTCACAGAGAGTTAGGGTTCTTTCAGGAACAAAGAGTCAACAGTCACAAGCAGCAATCACTCTGAGCAGGGCTTTCCCTTTCTTTCTGGGATGATGTGGGTGACCACGGGAGAGTTAGCCTGGAGTATGTCAGTGTTATCCGTGTCATTGTCCTGTCAGCTGCCACGAGTTCCCGTTGATCGCCTCACTAAGTGCAGAGCACCAACTCTGGAAAGGCTTGAGCTCTGACTGCAGACGTAAGGGTGAAATCCAGCGATGCGAGCGCCCACTTTGTGCCTAGTCACCGATGGTTCAGTAGATTCAGCTCATGCTTATTTTTATAATGTGAAAGTGAGCTCTGATGGGGGATTGAAAGGAAGAAAAAATTATGCTGAAGTGTTTTTGACTTTCACAAAATTTGAGTTTTGCAGGACTTTTGCTAACTGAGCATTTGGGTGTCTTAGGGAGCATTTGTCATTTGTGCATCTGGGTGAGATAAACCAAAGGTGAACTCTTTTTTTAAAAAAATTTATTTATTTTATTTCTGACTCTGTCGGGTCTTCATTGTTGCGCACGGGCTTTCTCTAGTTGTGGTGAGCGGGGGCTACTCTTCGTTGCACTGTGCGGGCTTCTCACCGCAGTGGCTTCACTTGTTGCGGAGCACAGGCTCTAGGCACGCAGGCCTCAGTAGTTGTGGCTCACGGGCTCTAGAGCGCAGGCTCAGTAGTTGTGGCTCACAGGCTTAGAAGGTGAACTCTTTCTGGAAATGTGTAAGCATTTTGTGCCTGTGCCCTTTGCGAGGTCTCCAAGCTCACACCCCTGGTTCTTCGGGCCTCCAGGCTTTTCCTCAACTTTGCTTATTGCCCAGCGAGAGCTGTTTGTCCTCATGATAAGGGGAGGAGACCTGCTGGGGACAGAGAGTGACGACTGCTTTTCTTTTGTGTTCATCCTAAAGATCGATAATCTGCATATAATTTCCACATTGGGCATAAGGAGGAGTAATTATGAAATAATTAAATGTGCTAAGGGTGGCCAGGACTGTTTAAAGAGCAATTATGGGGCTTCCCTGGTGGCACAGTGGTTGAGAGTCTGCCTGCCGATGCAGGGGACACGGGTCCGTGCCCTGGTCTGGGAAGATCCCACATGCCGCAGAGCGGCTGGGCCCGTGAGCCGTGGCCACTGAGCCTGCGCGTCCGGAGCCTGTGCTCCGCAACGGGAGAGGCCACAACAGTGAGAGGCCTGCGTACCGCAAAAAAAAAAAAAAAAAAAAAAAAGAGCAATTATGTAGCTAACTCCTCTGGGCTGCCTTCACTCCGAGTCAAAATGAAATAATTTGAAACATAACATCAGGTTGCAGAGTGAACATTTCAGAGTCCTCTTGTGTTACACACTGTTTACCTGTGTGTTTACCCGTTCATTTACTTAATGAACAGATACCAGTCTTAGGACGTCAAACCAGGGCAGAGACAAAGGGAATTCAAGACTGTGCCAAGGTAGGGTCATCCCTACTGCATTTGTTCATGCTGCTACTAGCAGCCTGCCAGTCTTTCAACATCTAGTTCAAATACCACTTTGTCTCGAAAAAATTCTGTGATTTGAATTATCTTGAATCCCTCCCTGGCCATGGCACCTCCACTTCCATAGTAGAACTCTGTAAAATCTATCTTATTTTATGGCCTTTTGATAATAAACATAATAGAAACCTTTCTAAAGTGCTTTGCAATTTATAAAGCATTTTCACATATCTTATCTCATTTTTATCCTCATAATAACCTGTTAACTGTACAGAGTATTGCAAATTTATAGCTGAAGAAACTAAAGCTGACATGACTTAAAACTTTTAAATTCAAATGCCCATAGGAGCTACGCAGATACAAACACAAAATAATCTCTTCAGGTATGTATCAGTCAGCATAAGCTAAAATATGGGCAGTAACAAAGTGATCCCCCAATCTTGGTGGCTTTTATCAACAAAGGGTTATTTCTCAATCAGGGTTTATGTTCATCGCAGGTTGACTGTGGTCCTGCTCCATGTATCTTCACTCTGGGATCCAGGCTGAGCTGCACGGGCATTGCTGGGAGTGAGACAAGAGGTAAAATGGTACAGCCGTGTGATGGTGTCTAACGATCCTACATGGAAGTGGTACACATCTCTTCTGCTCACTAATTAAAACGTGTCCTTTTCCTCAGACTTCTCTTGTAGATCTGTATGAACCAGACATTCATCCTGCATTGGGGTTGGCCAACTGATTGATGCTCATGGGCCGGATCTGGCCCACTACTTGTTTTTGTATGGCTTGTGAGAGAAGAACGGTGTTTAGATTTGTAAAAGGTTGAAAAAAATCAAAAGAAGAATAATATTTTGTGAGATGTGAAACTTACATGAAATTGAGATTGTAGTGTTTTTGTAAATAAAGTTTTACTTAGACAAAACTACTCATTTGTGTATTGTCTATGGCTGCTGTCACACTGCAATGGCAGAGATGAGTAGTGGTGGCAGACTATATGGCTCACAAAGCCTAAACTATTTGCTGTCTGGTCCTTTACAGGAAAAGTTTGTTGCATCCTGTCCCGTATCATTGGTCAGAAATCAACTTGGCCAGGTAGGAGCTCAGACTAAGTCTCAGCTGCTTTTTTTTCTTTACAATCTCTATGGACAGTGTGTTTGGAATCCAAGACCACTGCATACCTGGTGGGTGCTGTTCAAATCACTTCCAACCTAACTAGAGCCCCTGAACTTGTGTGATGTGATGCCTTGCTCCCATCAGTGGATGTTAGGGTCTATATGTAGAAAGTTTCTTACTTCTTACTTGGAGCACTTTCAAAATAGCATATAAATTATAACTAAGTAAATATCCTAAGTGATATTAAAAAGCAAATGTTAGCCTGTGGGAAATCCTGGCAACAAGTATGGTAGACCAAAGATGGATATTTTTAATGCATAAAGAGCTCTTAAAAATAAATAGGAAAAGATAAATACCATAATATAAACAATGAATAAAAGTTATAAATATTTAAGCAAATATCCAAACAGCATATGATAAAATGTTCAAGCTCACTAATAAACAAAGAAATGCCAATTAAAACAGTGTGCTCTCAATTTCACCTATTGAGTTGGCAAAAAAATTGAAATGCCCCCTATTGGCAAAGATGCAAGGAATAGAGCATAGACTACAAATATGTACAAATTTTTTTTTTTTTTTTTTGCTGTACGCGGGCCTCTCACTGTTGTGGCCTCTCCCGTTGCGGAGCACAGGCTCCGGACGCGCAGGCTCAGCGGCCATGGCTCACGGACCCAGCCACTCCGCGGCATGTGGGATCTTCCTGGACCGGGGCACAAACCCGTATCCCCTGCATCGGCAGGCGGACTCTCAACCACTGCGCCACCAGGGAAGCCCAAATATGTACAATTTTTGACGGGCAACCTGTTAATATAAACCAAAATCTTAAAAACATTCATACTCTCTGACTTTGTCTACTTCAAGGGATTTATCATAAGGAACTAATAAGTAGAGATGCACAGAGAGGTTTGTGCACGAGAACTTTTACTACTGATGTTATTTCTAATAGAGAAAATTAGAAACTACTTAAATATCCAACAGCAAATATTATACAACCATTAAAATTATGTTGTAGAAGAAAAATTAATGTCATGGGAAATTGAGATATTAAGTAAAATAAACAGAATACACATAGTCTATACAAAATGTTTCCATTTTTGTAAAAAACAAAAAACTAGGTGAGACAAATGTACATGCACAGAAAAAACACTGGGATGTATTCACTAAAATGTTAATAGCAGTGATCTCTGAGTTAGTGGATAACGATTGATTTAAAGTTTTACCTTTGTGGTTTTCTGTACTTTTCTAATTTTCTACCATAAATATATACTTGGTAATCAGGAAAAAGTTAAGCATGTTGGGACTGAGGAAACCTTGTACTTACAGGTTCTCATGACTATATTGAGGACCATATAATCCTCTTCATTATTTCCTTCAACTGGGAAGAAATCATTTTGGAACCACCTTTTAGGTGAACCATGAGCTCTGTCTTCCTTGAAACTAGAAAATGTGTGAGTCCTGATCACACCGGAAAAGGAACATCCTGATTCAGTCTCTCTTACCTGGGTATTAAGATGTATTGAAGAGGAAATATTTTGTTTGGATGCTCTGAGGTATTTAGAGAATTGCCTCAGCTCAACAGACTACTTTATTAAAACAGCTATGGCTTAAGACAGTTGGAAGCCAGGGTGCTTTCTGAGATGCAGTGATCCAGCTTTGAACAGAAATGCTCTTCTAAATTGGGGTAGGACCTTGCAGCCTGTGGTTCTCATTGAGAGTCAGCATGCTTCTCCACCTCCCGAGATGAGTGGGTGCCTGCTTGCCCAGCCCAGGCACGCCTGAGCATCAGGGGGAGCGGCCTGATGGGGCCTCCCTTTGGAAAGGTTGCCGACTATTACTCAAGAAAATTGCTTTTGTTCTCCAGCTCTTGTTACTGCTAGTCTGGCCCTGGGTGTCTGCGGTAAATGAAATTCTGCGTAAAGTTTGGAGAAAGTTGAATACTTTTCTTGGGTCTGAGGCTAGAAATCTAGAAGGTTCTGGGCAAAAGCCTGTTCATTTTTAGTTTGGAAGTCAGCTTTTGCTCGACCTCTTGCACGTGGTACCCTCACAGAGTCGATTACCTGCCGTCTCTGGTGTCCTGATGTTTCCTGTCCTTTTTGGGGACTTCACACTGCCCTGGATCAGGGGCTCACAGGCAGATGGGGCAGATTGAGGGAAACTGGGAAGAGGCCAGGAATGGCTCTTGGTCTGCTTGCAGCAGCCGAGGGAGGTTTGGTTTGGCCAGAGCAGGAGAGATTCCAAGGAGCAGGGAAATAGCCTGGCAGAGTCAGCCATCCAGCCAGCGATGGGAATCCAAGACAAGGTAGCTGGGGGCCCCAGCAGAGAGACAAATCCCAGCAGAAGGAGTTAGTCAGTGATCTGAATACCCAGTAAGCAGCCGGTCAGTGGGTAGCAGGGCACCAGACACCAGGTGAGGGCTCAGAGATGCTGGATCCTTAGCGCAAGAGAGTGGTATGGTCCAGCATTGGCCATGTGGTATGGCTGAAGGGGCATGGGCTTTGGGGTCAGACAGACCTGGATTTAATCCCGGCTTCACCACTGACTTACCATTGGTAAAGACCTCAGGTGTCTTAGCTTTGAGCTAATGCCAACCTAGCTCTGGGGGGTGTTGGGAGAATTAAGTAAGTTGGTATATATTGTATAATGCATTCAGAGCAGACACACAAAGGGACCTTCTTAAGTTCTATTGCCCCAGCTCAGGATTAGAATTGGGAGGGTCCCTGAGCTTGCAAGTGGAGAACCAGTTGTCCCAGGCAGGAGACCTGTTGTGCTGACGCTGAAAGCCAGCCTGAGTCTCACACTTTTGTTGGAAATTTTAGGAAAATATTCCCACTGGATTTTTCTACTTTCTTTTCTAACGGCTTCTCTTTGGAAAGCCAAGGACTTTGATTTTATTTGATCATCATCTGAGATGATTAGAAGAAATGGGGGTGGTCTGAACAGCAACTGAAGCTGGACTTGTGGAGAGAATTTCAAGACGCAGCGAGAAATTCCTGCAAAGAAAGAAAATTATGAACGTCTGTGGAAAGGGACAATAAAAATGTAAAGATTATTGTTTATCTGACACATTGCTTTCCAATTTCAGTGAAAGAAAATGAGTATGGACCTATTCTTATGGTTTTAAACTCTTTGCAAATAATCTAAGAAGAGTTATTGAGGTCAATATTTTTTTTATTAGTTTGTAAAATTACTACCACTGTCACCCTTTCAGCACTGCATTAAGAAACGCCAGCTTTTCTATAGTCATGACATAATGCCCACTATGACATTCAGTGAAAATAAAATAAGGATGTTAACTCCTTGAACCTACAGGAATGTGCCACATTCACCTCTGCCTCACTGACTCATTAGCATAGCGCTTCTCGCTTCCTTGCAGGCTCTCAATAAAGGGTTGAGCTGAAATGAATGAAAAACAACATTTTAGGGCTTCTCTGGTGGCGCAGTGGTTGGGAGTCCGCCTGCCAATGTAGGGGACACGGGTTCGTGCCCTGGTCTGGGAGGATTCCACGTGCCGCGGAGCAGCTGGGCCCGTGATCCATGGCCGCTAGGCCTGCGCGTCCGGAGCCTGTGTTCCGCAGCGGGAGAGGCCACAACAGTGGGAAGCCCGCGTACCACAAAAAGACATTTTATTTTATAGCTTTATTGAGGTATAATTGATTTACAAGAAGCTGCATCTATGTAATGTATACAGTTTGATGAGTTTGGACATATGTATACACCTGTGATGCCGTCACCACAATCAAGGTAATACACATACTCCTCACCTTCAAAAGTTTCCCAATAAACATCATTTTAAATTGAATGCTCCATTCTAAGAAAACCCAAAGAACATTGAGATTACCAAACAGATACATAAGATGATGGTGGTTTGGATGTGAGGAAAGTTAAAATTCATACTACAAATGGTTTCTTATTTTACACAGTAAAAACAACTTTAAAGAGAAGGTTCCTGTGTTGAGTTAAAAATAAGATTCAGCTTTGGGAAATTCATCTTTGCATCCCATTTTGGGGACGTGTTTAGTTTCATGAACTAAGGAACATAGATATTTATTTTTCTATTAAAGTCATTTTTTAAAAAAGCTTGATTTGGACTTCCCTGGTGGTCCAGTGGTTAGGACTCCACACTTCCACTGCACGGGGCATGGGTTCGATCCCTGGCTGGGGAACTAAGATCCTGCATGCTGCATGGCCAGAAAAAAAAAAAAAAAGAAAGAAAAAGCTTGAGACTTCCCTGGTGGCGCAGTGGTTAAGAATCTGCCTGCCAATGCGGGGGACATGGGTTCGAGTCCTAGTCCAGGAAGATCCCACATGCCGCAGAGCAACTAAGCCCGTGTGCCACAGCTACTGAGCCTGCGCTCTAGAGCCCATGAGCCGCAACCACTGAGCCCGTGTGCCACAGCTACTGAAGCCCACACACCTAGAGCCCGTGCTCCGCAACAAGAGAAGCCACGACAATGAGAAGCCCGTGCACCGCAATGGAGAGTAGGCCCCGCTCGCCACAACTAAAGAAAGCCCACCACGCGCATCAACAAAGACCCAACACAGCCAAAAAAAAATGGTTGATTTCCCTTGAGGTGTCAGAGAATATGTAGTCTCTGACCGTGATGAGAAAAGGAACTTTCTCAATTCTGCTATGGGCCTAAAACCTGAATTCCTAAGACTGAGGTTCTAAACCCTTCTCTAATTCACCCACTGAAGCCTCCACCCCAAATCTGTGTCCTTATACATGTGGTGGAACAACAATCCTGGGGACAGAAAGTCCCTGGACAGGAGGTGTCGGTGTGTCAGAGTCTCTTGGCCTCCCAGC